CCAGTGTGTAACATTAAGGAGGATCTATTGGTAGAAATGGAATATAATATTCATAGGTATGTTTTCACTAGTGTATAATCACCTGAAAATAGGAATAAATGGGTGTTTGACGAACCAACACTGCAATGCTTCACTGTACCATGCCGTGCTTCTGTAATGTTTCTCCACTCATTCATTCAGGTTTTAATTTGTCACTCGTATGTTCTTTCCACGTCCAGAAGGCGAAACCTTACAAGCCATAATTTCCCAATCTTGCCTGTCTTAGAGCAGATTTTCTCACTCTAGTGCTTTTAAAAATGAATGCCCTCATGTAAATATGCAGAAATTCAGTCAGTGAGATCAAAGAAGGTGAAATATTAATGCCTACATGCTGTTGCAGGATAAATAAACAAACAACAACTTGTACTAAAAGAATATAGTTTTATTAAGCATTGTAGCTAAGTTGCCTTCAAATACACCACGCCACAATCCATCAACACTCAATCAATCCCAAAAGCAGTTCATTCTGTTACAACCCATGAGTTAGGAAGAAACTCTGATCAACTTACGTAGAAGGTAACCTATTTAGCTCTTGCGTGGGGGACTGGGGGGAGTACACTGTTTCTCTGATCACTAATGAAAGATGAAAAGGAGAATTAAAATGTTAAATGATGATTCTGGTACAGAAGTAGGGAGACTGTAAAAACGACACTAAAGTAAATCTCAAAGTTGATTAGTGGATGATGGCTAAAGTCTTAATTGGAAGGTCGAGCAAGTTGCTTTCAGCTACAAAAAGGGGTGATTCTGATCAAAGCTTTTTATGGGGTTTTGTTTTTTAGATATTTGACTAAATGCAGAAAACAGCAACAGAGAACAATATAGTGTGAATTCACTATTTCAAAAGTGGCGAGATAACTTTTTTTTTTTAATTAAATGCAACAGAGATCAGTATCACAAACAAATCAAGGTCAGAACAAATCTGTCACTAACAGTTAACACCTTTATGGGCTATCGCTGATATCAGACGTTTCTTTAAATTTGCAAATGGGCACAGTACTCTGTAAAAGATGGAGGAAAAAGGACAACATGCAGAATAACTACACACCTCTTAAACTGCGAACCATGCAGAAGGTTTTTGTTGAAGCGGTAATACTACAGCTCTATATTTGTTTCCAGAAACCCGGGTTGGGTGGATCGGTTTGACGAGATCTTCTGCGTCGGATTCTTAGAGCCTTTTCTTCAAATGTTACTTACAGCTAAATGACCGAACTAAACGGACACAGTTACTTAAACATGAACCCAACGCAAAGTGGTGGCGTGTTGCTTTCTCATTATGCGCTCGGTTTCTGTTAAGCAGTTATCGTGACAACACAAAATTTGATAGCCGTACTATGGCGAACACATGGCACCGAGTACTGGAAGATATCAACCTATAGGAACTAAAATGTTTCAATCTTCTAATGAAAAGTATCTCATAAACGTGTAGAAATCGTGGTGACGAGGGAGTGAACGACTCCTTAAATTAGCAGTGTGTCGTACGTCTCGCGGTTTACTGAGAGGGATCCGAATTTTATCTCTCCTCTTTGACAGGAAAAATCGACTGTAGGCATTCCAAATTTCCAGATATCCTAACGCTGCTCCACCTTTCATCCTTCACCCTCTCTAGAAAAATAGGCTTACTCTTCTGTTTTTAAGACGGCGGCCTCCAGACCTTCATCTCCATGGCGGCCGCCATCTACGTTTAGTGCATTTAAGTGAGGATTAGAATTGCACGTCTTGGAGTCGCTGCTAAAGGCACTTTCGGGTTGGATGAGAGCCCCGCGTTCCTCTCCGTCTCCGTTCAGCTGGTCCAGCTCTTTGTCCTCCACGCCGTTCTCCGCGGTTGAGCTGTCACACGGCGCGGGGGAGGCTTTCCTTTCCTCTGGCTTGGGCTTCTTTCTCTCCTTCGCTGCATCGTGTCCAGGTGTAGGAGCAGGCTTATGAGCGGGCTTACCCTGGTACAGAAAGGACAGACAAAAGGGAATTTAAGCTGATGGCAGAGACAGACTGTGACAGCAGCTGTGAGGGTTCTGTTAATCACGTGCAACGTACAGATGTGGGCTGGTAAAGAAAAAGACTGCAGGGCAATTTAGAAGCTCATCAGCAGTAAAATAAAGGGGTTTTAAACAGAACAAAGACCTGCTGAGGGTCTGTTTAGTTCCCACTCATCACGTGCTGAAAGCAACAATGGTTGTGTAATCTGTTGTCGCACTGTAATTAAACTGTGAGAAGAGCAACAGCTGTATTTTGATGTTTGTGTAGAACACGCAGTCCCTGCTGAAGCATAATGACAACCGATAGGATTACCCCACATTCCTTAAAAAGGCATACAAGATACAAGGTTTATATATTTAGATTTATATTCCACCTACAGTGGCCTGGCCCATAAGAAGTGTTCCAACATTGTAGCCTTTGCGTTATTTGTTGTTGATGTCAGTGCACTGTGCGTCCAGCAGGGTCCAAACATGTCAGCCTTTCAAACTCATTTGGTCCTGAGCAACAACTACTGCTCAGACTAGGGCCGCGCATTAGCAATAACCTGCCCATACGATACGTATGGCCATACAGGAGTTACGATTCAATATCTTGTGATACTACAAGCTGGCCGGTATATTGAGATTTCTTTTTTTTTAATCTAATTTTAGGAAAACTATCTATAGTATAAAGAACACACCACTATATGCACGTTTACTTTCTCATGCAGCCAGAACAGTGGGATTTGCATCTGTATTTATCACAGCCACATGTTTTTTTGTTTATATTTGGACATTAAATTACACAGATTATAATAGTAGGATTTTTAAGACTATTTAGACAAAATATAAAAAATATTTAAATATGAAATTTGACTGGTCCATGTTTCCCTGGAGATGGATCCATTGTGTCCTGGGCACTTTGACAAACCAACACAGCAGCATCTATGGACCACAAACATGTCACTATGACCTTGTTATTATTAAGACTAAGGTGCGAGATGATGAATGAAGAACTTGAGATGTCTCATTCAGGTCCTATAGGGCCCGACCGACACATTGGTCTGGCGATATGGGCCTATCACACACACACACATCAGTATCTGCATATATGATATCAGATATGTGTTGATATGAAGACTGTTTTTGTTACATAATGCAGAAAAATGCTTGTAGTAATGTGTATACACTACTGTGGCGAGCAGCAGTAGCGGCTCTCAGCAATGTCAACAATATATATATGTTCAATTATTTGACTTGTTTAGTAGTATAGTATATTCAGCTTAAATATTCTTTTATAAAGTTATCTGTTTCAGAAAGCGGCCTTCCAAGTACCTTTACAGAATCACACTGGTGCACGCAGAAAAGGTCTATTTTCATTCCAGCTCAAACATTCATTATATCGGCTGCCATATTCAGTGTTTGTGAATTTTTCACCCTAAAATAAAAATATATGGGGCTTTATGGCTTTCCTGTTATTGGTTGTACATACATGTTTGTTATGGTGTCAGTTAGACATGGAACAGGACTGTTACAGAAAGAGCCGCAATGCTTGAGTGATGTTTGCTTCCTGGTGCTAGTTCAAAGGCGGCGAGATGAAGACGCGTTCTAAGGTCAGTAACCGGCTGCATCAGTGATGGATTATAACTATATATTTATTTTGCCCTTGAATCCCTAATTTAGAACCATTGTGAGTGTGTTCTCATGGTCAATCACTTCTTATATTATCTTATCAGTTTTATGATTAATTACACAGACCATCACTCCTGCCTATTTTATATGTTGGAAGTATGGAAGTGTCACTAGGGGCAACCCTGCAAGATGAAGTTTGTGACTTTTATTTAAAAATGACGTGCACTTGCTCAGACAGGCTTAGGGTCTGTGGGAAAACCTCAATCTGTCTGGCTGAAAATCCTTTATAAAGATGGCATTATATTTTAAACCATGGGTCCATCTTTCTGCTGAGTGAGAAACCATCTATTCAAAATGAAAACCAATGCAAGCAGTAACAAGCTGCCACTGTGATACACTTTAATAGTGACACTGAAACTAAGGTCAACCAACAACCTCTCTGACCTTAATTTCACACTGTGACATTTTTGTGTGTAGATTCATCACTGACTTACCAGGTACACTCCCTGACTCTTGAAGGCTCGAGCGTGGTACCTGCCTCCTCGACCAAACGTCCTGATGACGGGCGTGGAAATCACACCTCTGGGTCGACTAAAGGAGGCAGAAACAAGTCCACGTGGTTTACAAATAAATCATAATGAAAGAATAGTTGAAAATACTTAAGACAGCTCATGTTACCTACGTACCCTCTATTTGCTCCACCAACAGACACCACCTGGACAGGGAAGCCTCCTCTTCCTCGGCTGCGTCGAGCTCCAGCCCACTGACCCACCACAGTGCCGGCGATCTCCAGCTTCCCACCCTGCGACGACATTCCTTGAAGTCCTCGAGGGAGAGGGAAAACAAAGGGTATTAATCAGTGCATCAGTGGTGCTACACCATTCTGCTCTGAGTGTTGAACTGGCTTAGTTCACAGCAACACAGGGAACACAAACAAAATCTGTCACAACGAAGTTTTTTTTGTTAGGTAGGTTAACTAAATCCCCAAATGATTGTTTTTAGCTCATGTATCTTGGTATTTACTGGTGCTGTTGATTGATTCAGGTCGCCATCTTGACATTTTAGTGCAAAGTATTTAAATTCTTCATATTGTGCTATAAATATGCATAGCAATCTCCCTCTACTGGCTGAAACCCGACTATTACAATTGAATTTTGCTATTGGCTGTTCTTTCATCCCCAACCATCTAAGCCTGATGCTATTTGAAATGTGCTGGGAGGAAGAGAGCTAGCAGCATTTAAGGTTTAGTTAAACACAAAACTAAATGGCCTGTTAGTGGCTGCACTCACCAGGCATCCCTCTACTTCTCCCCTGAGGAGGCATCATAGGGGGTGGGGGGTAGAAGGAGCCCGCGGGGGGGTAGAAAGGCATCCCGTGAGGAGGTGGAAGAGGCGGAGGGGGGAACGGAGGAGGATGAGGTGGCCGAGTGAAGTTGAGACCTTCCAGGATGCTCTGACGCATCTTCTCCACCTTGGCGACCAGCTCAGTCTGAAGAGAGAGACCGTGATTAACTGCAAACTGATGACTGTGTTCACTACAGCACAAAGATTTTCTCCTCCGCCTTAGGGCTTCTGGGGCAAGAACCTTTCCTCTTTCTGTGATATGAGTGTACAGCAGTGCTTCTCAAACTTTTATTATTAATATACCCCCTTTGAAATATATTTTCAGCCAACCACCCCCTGACCAGTGCAAAACATTATTGGGTCAATAAAAACAAATCCTGTATTAGGTACAACACAGTGGAAAAACACTTCGCATCCATCGCTAAATTCATGGCAGGCCAATTTTTTGTCATCACGCAATAAGACGGCATTGAAGTTGCTTTGATAAGTTGTACTTACAATTTAATGAGAAACACAGGGTTGTGCAGGATCTTTAGTCAGTTATTCAGCAGAGATCAGAAGTTTTAGGGCAGCTGACAGTTTACAGCAGCTAATCACTGCACTGAAAAATGGGAACACTCAATATAAAATGTGGTTTCTCAAACTGACATTTACATTTTTACTGCTTATTATACGATAATTATTTTAGGAATTATTCATGACTTAAATTAATGTTCAGAAAATTCTCACATACCCCCTGCAGCACTCTAAATTACTCCTACAGGTAAGAATACCCCCATTTGAGAAACACTGTTTGCAAGTATTTGTCCACTACTTTAAAGTCAAAACTGCTCCACCAAATGAAATTGTAGGCAAACCTCTTGGAAAAACTCTCTATATCAGCCTACCGTAATAACATTAAGGCTGACACTGTCTCTGACCCAAACCATGTCCTGAACAGTAAATTGTTACCATGCAACAGGAGATACAGAACGCCACAATTTAATAAGGTTTGACTGAAGCACTAGATTGTACAGGAGCTTAATCCCAGATCAGATATAGTATGTTAAAGGCCTTGAATGTTTGTGATTGAAATCTGTGATTTTCAGACTTGATCTATATTATTTCTACAATCAACATTAACCCAGAGAGTATGTCAATGAACAGATATGAACTTCGCGTTGCCTGAAGAGACTGTGCCAGTGTTCTTGCTTCTTGCTTTGACAAAAATGTTGGTGTCCACATCAATAACCAGTTATAAAAAATATAAAATAGGATCAACCTGCAGTTTGACTTAAGAATATTTTATTTACCCTAAGAAAGATATATTTCCGAAATATCTTTTTTAGTGCAGGAATTAATGTGAGACAGAATAGCTGCACAACTGGCCGTGATAATATTAGTCCTGAATACCACTCACACTTTTAGTTTTATTGTGAGTAGAACAATTATTGTTATTCCATTTAATATTGATTCCCAAAAACATATGACTGACAGTCATCATTAGAGGTGACTCAGGTGACAGTGCAGGACTATTACAGGTGAAACGTTTTTCACAATAAAACTTCCACAGAGTTCAAAGAAAAGAAAAAAAGAGAGAAAGGAAAGTCAGTCAAGAGAAAGGAGATTTGTGTGCAGCATGAATTTCAAGCAGAACTGGATACAAAACAAACTGGTGTTTAGTTCAGGAGGAGGTACAGCATTCCATAATGACAGTTTTATGTCTCGTTAATAATTAAAGGAAATTGACTTTGTGCCAGTGTTTGGTTTGTTTTTGGGTTGAATTTGGTGAAGCTGCTCTGTAGTGTTTCTATTCTGGTTGTTGGAGGCACTGCACAGCAAGTCTTCGTAACAAGATCAAAAGGTTCCTTAGAAAGGGCCAATTTAAGGCTATGAGATTCCTCAAATACCTTTACAGTATGTGCAACCTACAACATGAGGCAATTTTCTTTTTACGTCTAAATGAAACACCCGTACCGTCCTGCCGTCTGGACTGGAAAAATCTGAATCACTGGAGTTATTTGATGTTTTGAGAAACTTTAAACACACAGAGCATCACATGTATTCCTACTTACAGACATGGAAGAAAATGTCATTCTAAGTCAAGTTTGCTGTAAGGAACATTAGCTCCCTGCAGTGTTTGTACTGTGGGAGAGGCCCTGAAGGACAAGGAAATGTAGAGTTGTTTGATCAAATCATTATAGTATCTAACATAATTTACTTTGTGATGCTTCTACTTGTTGACATTTGAAAGATAAGTACAGTTGTAAAGATGACGCATGAGCTCTGTGACAACAGGAGATTAACAAAGATCCAACTGCACAGCAGAAAGAGTCTTGGAATGAGGGGCAAATCCATGTGTGGGTTTAAATGTGCCGTGTGGAGCTTTCTTATAAACAAACTCAGTTGTGTTTACATTCAGTGTTGCTCTATACACTGTGTGGCCTTACAAATGTGTTGAATGAATTTCCTTCTTCATACAACAATTGCAAAGCTGATTTTTTTTCTTCCTCTAACCTTTTGCTGGCACTTTTTTTATTGGCACGCTGCTGCCACCAACTATCCATCAGAAAGAATTTAACAACCTGCAGGAATGTATGTTGCATTGCCTTCCCGCGCTCTCTTTCCCCTTGTTTCCTGTCTGCGATCAACTACTGATTAAAGGCAAAAATGCCAAAAAAGGACAATCCAGGAAGTATTTATAGCATGTAGAAATGTGTAAACTGATCAGGACAAGGATGCAGCCAGCTGTAGCAACCCGGAAGTTAAGAAAGAAAACAGGAAATGGACCAAATGAAAAAAAAGGCAAAGCAAAGGAGACACAATTGACCCATCCTAAATCCCGCCCCTTTTTGCTCTGTAGTCCAGTAATAATTGAGCAAGCGTCAGTCAGAACCTCTGTAAACTTTCTCCTTTACTAAACTAATTATACACTTGCTAGGCATAGATAGGCTGAAGATGGTTAAAAGACAAAAGTAACATATAGTCACATCTTAAGTTAGCTAGCTAATGTTAGCAAAACACTAGCTAACTAGACTACAGCAATCATTAGCTTGTTAGTTACATCTGAAAGCTAATGTTAGCAAAATGGTAGTTAACTAGCTTTAGTAATTTAAATCAATTGTTAGTTAGCTAGTAAGATAAATTAAAAGGTCCAGTGTGTAACATTTAGGAGGATATGTTGTCAGCAATGGAATATAACATTCATAGGTATGTTTTCATCAGTGTATAATCACCTGAATATAAGAATTGTTTGGTTTGGTTTTTTTACCTTAGAATGAGCTGTTTATATCTACAGTTTGCCTTCCATGAAGTCCGCCATGTTGAAACCTCCATGTTTCTACAGTAGCTCAGAACAGACAAATTTCGCAGCCACATAAGATTCTACACACTGCACAGCCTGCTCTCATTCCCAGGTCGTCAAATACAGACACCACAGGTGTTCAGTTTGTTACTACACTGGTCCTTTAAGATGTGACTATACATGTGATATATTACACTTCTCTTTTAACCATCTCCAAAATGTAGGGGGAGTCGGTCTGCCTGGCTTTTTGTGCCACCTTTGAGCGTCTGACCATCCAGAACTTGTATAGTCGGAACATGTTTTGCTGATGTGTGGGTGGGTGTGGATGAAGCTACCTGACCATCACAGAGGTCAATGAGCTGGGCCTTCTCCCTGTTGGCCCTGATAAGTTTACTCTGCAGCAGCTTGCCGTCAAAGTACATCCAGGGACAGCAGTGCTCCCAGGGAATAGGCTGTCCGCACGCGTCGTTGGCAAACAGAGCCATGTCCACTCCGCTCATGAACAGAGCGGCCAGCTGGACTCCTCGAGGGTCCAGGTTGTCGATCTGTAGACCAGAAACATTCAGATTTATAAAATGTCCACATGGAAAGAAAAAATAATATTATATATAATATTCCTTTAATAGCCCCACTGAGCATTCAGATTAATGAAGTGAAAAGCAAAGCACGGAGCAAGCGTAAGCAGCCCATTCACTCCTGCCTGCCAAAATACAGCGATACACAACCTAATCCAGCCAACACAAAAAGCCAACAGACGCAACCTAGATGTTCTGGCACAGCGGAGAGCAGACAGAGCTACACACAGACAGACCACAGGGACCAAAGCGCACAGCTCGTGTGGATGGTTTACGTTAACAAAAGGCCGAATGAGAACAGAGCTCCAGCGCTTTTACAGCTTGGTTGATAAACCATCCACACATGACACGAGAACCCCTCCGCGTCACTCAGAGCTCTACAAAGATACATCTTTCAGTGCAAAGCTACAGCTTCAGGAACAACATGCTCGCACAAAACTGTGTTTTGTCGAGCAGGTTGCTTTGTTTGCAGAATATGAAAAGTGTCTGGAAATGTGAAATCAAACAGCAGTCAGCCAATTCTCTAATCAGAGTAGTTACCAAGTAAGTGATAGGACAGTATGGCAGATTACGGCCAGGATATTCATGTCTTGTGTGCGTTTCTCCGACACTCCTCATATAACAAACACTACAAAATCACCTTCAGTTCCTGCAGCTGGTCAGGCTCATAAAGTTTAGGAGAAAGTGCTTGGGCTAGGAAAGCGTCAAGTTCGTTACGACGCAAAATTCTTAATCCTGGCCAATGTAACATAAACCTGAAGCAAAACACAGAAAGTTAACAGTATTACAAACACCAGGAACTGATCAACTCTGTCTTAATAAATCCTCACTCCCTCACTCTCAATTGACTTTACTTCTCACAAACACAGTGACATCTACAGACTTCATCTGTGTGTAAGCCTACAGTCTGTCCTGGATAGCGGCGGTCCACTCACCGCAGCACGCAGCAGAGCACCAAGAGGGGCGTGGGGACATTGGCAGGGTTCAGCATGGCCGGAGTGTCGGAGCGCATGCAGGCCAGGAACGCTCTCATCCTGCGGTTCTTGTCCTCCACGGCCTTCCCCAACCACAGCTTCTTCAGGTTGGGACAGGTCCACTCCCTGAAGGGCAGAGCCTCCACCAGCTCTGGAGTGTGGGGGGACTTGCCTTTGTAGGCGGCCCACTCTTTGACCATTACATGTGTATCTGGGAAACAACATTTGAAAGAGATTAGGGTTTGTATTGATCAATCGTCCCAGAATCTCTCCTAGAAACTGCCTTCAAAGTTAACCAAGGACTTCTATCTCAGATAGGAGGGGGACTTGAGTTGGTTATGAGACTTCCTAAGTTTGCTTTCAGCAAGGGAAAGAATTACCCACAGAGTGTGAGATGCTGCTGTTTTGCTGCACTCAGCTGCATTAATGGAAGAACATGATCAGGGTTCCCACCCTTTTTAACAAATCCTTTCCAGGACCTTCCCAGGAAAATTTTTGGACAATACAGGACAGCTTACAAATGGTCATATAAGCTGCAGTTTTGGGCAAATTGACTACAGTTTACTACAGTTTTCCTCTAATCGTAACATTAATGTGGCCACAGTCCAAGTCACAAGTAACAGTTTGAATGAAGTAGAATTTATTTTATTTTACTTTACAGAAAATTAATCTTATTAATCTCTATAAAGTTAACGTGCGCTGCACGTACAATGAACGTCACTGCATGCATTTATCAACCACAGCAACAATGTACATGTGATCATTAATAGGTGATGTCATGTATGCATGGAGATATGAGAATTCCGCTTGCAAAAAATAGACTGCAAATTAAAAATGTCATACAGCTCATCCCTCCCACAGTTGAGTTTCAAACAAAAGACACTCCTAGGTTTACATAGTGGAAAAAAGTTGAATTGAGAAATGAATCAGCAAATTAATAAATTAAAAAAATATCCTTAGTTAGTTATTTCCAAATGAATAAATATCTGAATCTCACAATATTTACCAGTAACCCATTTGCATTCAGCTACAATCAAGCATTCCCCGATGCCACTTGTGTGGCTTAAAGCAATAGATGTATTATGCAACTTAAAATGGTGATCCGACTAAGCTGCCATATCTTAGTGGGACATATCTTCGTCAGCCCTGTCCAGTCACATGGTTCTATAATTCCCACTGGCACGGCTCTATGATATTGTGTCTGCTTTACTGTTTTGTTCTGTCCTCCGCACAGCCTCATACCCAACCAGGAGGGTTTCAGATGCGGAGCGTTTTACCTGCCCTATTTTATTGACTTGTTCTATTGGCTTATTCTATATAATTATTTATTTATGCCTGCCACTGGGTTGGATTCCCCTTGAACTCAATGAAACAAGGCAGAACAAGGTACAAACACTACCACTTTTGTCCACAGGGGCAGCCAGAATCAACAGAATGAAAGTTCCTTATTGCTGCCTTAAGTAGTTATGTAGCTAAATTGTTTCTTTCATTGTCTGTTTTTACCATCAGGAGTCTGCTTGATCTCCTCTGTGCAGCTTGACACGGCTTCTGTCTAAAAAATAAGACTAGGTGCGTATTTTAAGCGGACCACAGCAAGAGCTGGTGGAATAACAAGCAAGGTCTACAACGGTCGCGATCAGCTCCGGTCAACGCAGATGTGCCCGGTGATCAAACCGTAATTAGTGCTGCTGCATCTTACACTGCTCCCCTTACAGGTGGGGGAAATTATTTGCACTCAGTGACGTGACAATGCAAATATATATCTGCCATCCATAAAATGACTGAATGAATGAACAAACAATCACATGATTCGTATAAATGCAAATTCTTTGTGTTAGTTTCACAGTCAGGTGGACCACCAAACAGGATTTATTTTAGTGAGGAATCTTAATCACTGAAAGAGCGCAGCTATAATGGAGGCTGAACACGCTGAAGTGACAAAATGTAAAGTTTGTACACAAGTCAGTTTCCTTTTTATGGATTATATTGATGGCAAATTGACAAGACGACTGACAACGAATAACAACCTTTAGCTCGTGGTTCTAGAGTAACGTGTTTGTACTTTATATTACATTGTATGTTATAATTTTTAACCTTTTGTTACCACTACAAATACACTAGGTAACTGTTAAATATGATAATGTCTGACACTGAGTGCTGTTAGTTATTTAGTGTGATAAATGGTTTAATAACTGACAATGGCTGATTATCAGCTTATTTTAATCAGTTTCTAACAGCAGTTCTTTGAAAGTCTGGTAGTGTGACCAAGGCTTAACAGGTCACCTCTGATGATTGATTTCCTACCCTGATAGAACACTAAAATGCATCACTGAGAATCTTTGGCCAGTTTCTTCCTCTGAGACACTTGATAAAAACCTCAGCACGAGAAATCCCACCGTGACATAAAGGAGCTTTCTCAGCACAGGACTCACATTCAGGGAGGCAGTTCTTCCTCATGGCAAGTCTCTCAGCCTTCTTCCTGGCCTCGGCCAGACTGAAGAGCACTCCGTAAACATATTGACGGATCGGCCGAAACAGCTGCACTGCTGAAGGCAGGTCTTTGTTTGCTTCATCTTCAATGGTGACTGATAGCTTAATCTCTCCCTGCAAAGACACACTGTTTGTGGCATTGTGCAGCATTTAGAATTTAACAAACACTTTATATATGCTTAAGACACACACGTACAGTGCCTGTGGGTGCCTAGAATCACTTCTTGTAGTGTATTTTTTACATAATACATATGTAGTTTTACATAAACACTGGCTGTAATTACAAAATAAAAGCCATCAGTCTATCTGAGTCCGTCCCTCTGACCTTAGTGAGAGCGTGGTAGATGTAAGGGTACATAAGGCCCTTCTTGTGCCTGTGCTCCGCCACCCGCAGGACCTCGGGGGCAACGGCGGGGAGAGGTGGGATGGTGATGTCCATGTGGTTCCTGGTGGGCATGGAGAGCAGAGAGGGGATCTGGGCATTCAGGCTGTGGAGACCACCGGCCTGCGACCCCGGGCTCACAGTAAAGGTCACACAGAGGTCAGCCTGCAGACAGACGGGACACGGCGGCTTCGCTTTAGCTACCTGGCAAGATGTCTGATAAAGTCTAACGTGTTTCTGATGTTTGACTTACTTTTGTTTGGTCCTCCAGGTCTCCCTCCGGTGTGTTTGCAGAATGTGGAGTATGTCCGTTTTTCTCCCATCCTCTCTTATGGTCACTAACATGACTGAAAAAACAGCATATATATGATTTAAAGCTAAGTGACGGAGTAAAGAAACCTGCAGTGCATGTTTCTTTATTATCACTGACACATAAGGCACAGGCACATCACATCCTGGGAGCTACTTAATGTCAGATGTACTGTGATCAGAAGCATTAGTACAATAGTACAAGGTGCTCTCTACTTCTGTTGTTGAGACTTGATTCAACCAAATGCAGGATTTGTGTCAGTTAGAATAAACAAAGAAAAGAAACTGTCCGTATTTACAGAGACAGACTAAAATCAAGCCTATTTGGGAATCTGAAAATAGAAACATACTGAGAAATAAATAATATTACTGTTGCCAGTAGAGACTAGATACAGCACTGCAGTGCAATCATTGTGTGCTACAAAACAATTTTTACCAAACACAAGACACTTAGAAGTTTCCATTAACTCCACTTTAACTTTTTTTCTTTTTAAGTTAAACTCTAAGTGCTTTAATGTTACAAGACTGTTTTGGGGACAATGTATGGACACAATACTGACAGGAAATAAGAGGACTAAACTTGTTTTCTGGAAAACAAGTGACATGTGACATCTCCTAATTATGGATGCACCGATACCAATGTTTAAAGTAACATTTTGGTCGATAGCCGGTGTCTTTCTCTTCGTTATTTGCTCGCCCTTTTGTGCCAGGGAAACAAAGCTTTCTACAAAGATAATCATCTCTGCCTTGGTGCAGCTCAGTCCATTTCTCTTCTCATCCAAGATGTGAGAAACAGAGCTGAACATCTGCTCGCTGTCCATGCTGCTGCATAAAACATACAGTATTTGTGTGCAAAACGTAGGCGCTTATTTCTCCAATATCCAAATATTTAACCATTGCAAAATGGATGCGACACAACATCTTTTTCTTGTATTTGCTGAAACTTTCACTATATCCTCACAGTAGTACATTAGACAGATAATCTGTGAAAAAAAGGACATAGCTTTTGCGATGTCACGCATAGGTTTCTGGAGAGTCGTTGTGAAGCCCAGTGTGGTCGGCCCCTGCCGACGCCGTCTCGGCAGTCCTGACTCTGCCGGCTCCCAGCTAATATAAAAATGGGTAAAGACATGGAGTGTGGGTGGAGCTGAGGCTGAATAAAGCCTGGTTACTAAAAATAGCCTGTATCTGCACCCAACTGTCACTCAAAGCGGCCACACCCTTAATTATTCATAACTTTAAGCCTTAATATAATTTAAGTGGGCGAGCTATAAACAAATTCACTACTTGTATAGTTTTTGTGAACAGGGAATTTGTACCAGGCTGTAAAAATGTTTGTTTCTACTGTAAAGTTGAGCATTTTAAAATGGGGCCTGATGAAGACTGACTCAGTTCTGGAGCCAGCCTCAAGGGGCTGTTAGAGGAAGTGCAGTTTTTGGCTCTTCCATGTTGGCTGCATTTGCCAGCCACTGAGGTTGCTTGATGGGGATATGAGATTGTGGTTATATTGCACAGCCTTCTGCAGGTAAGGATGTTGATAACAACAAATAGGGAGAAACTGCCGTAATAAAGCAGACAGAGAGTGAGTGTCGTGTGGAACTCACTTGGCAGTTGTGTCCGAGCTCTCTTCATTCTCCGAGGAGGAGGATGTTGAGGAGGCGTTGAAGAAAGCGGCCTCTGTGTGGTTGGGGCTGCCGGCCTGGCCCGGGTTGATGGGAGAGGACCTCTCATACAGCGGCGTGTGCTTCCCTTCATGAGGAATGTTGCTGAAGCTGTTCTGCTCCACGGGGCCTCTCTCCACGGAGTCCAGAGCCAGGCTGCACTCCACCAGAGGCTCCGGGCACGAGTGCTGGACCTGAAGACGGTGAGGAAAAAACAAACGCGTCATTCTCATGTAGCTGAAGTTGCAGTATTTCACTGTGGATTTCACTGTGGATTTCACTGTGGATTTCACAGGCTCACCTCAGGTTTTACAGGCAGCGGCACCTGTGGAATGTTGAGCATTTTTGGAGATGGCACTGCAGCAGGCACTCCCATGTGTTTTGGTCTGACTGAAAGACAGAAACAAAAGATTTCAGCATAAAGACTCAGGAGAGACTGTACCTGCTGCACAGAGTGGGAGTCATCAATGAGGACAGCAAAGTTATGGTGGTATTTTTTTTACTGGGAATCAGGGATCTTTGAAACGTGGAGGTTTGTTTATAAAAGAAAAAAAAGATGAATACTTGCTTATACATTTGAGACTCAAATGCTTTATAATAACAAAATTCCTATACATTTTTCATAATACTAATAAAGTACAATTCACTATGGTAGATAAGCAAATGTACACAGTATGGTAATTGTCAATTTTCATACCACGGTATAGGTATAGCATTGCAACCCTACTTGTCAGTGCTCTCTGGGGGACAAACTGTAATACTGAGTTTTTAAATGACCTCAAACCTAGTTCGACATTTCTTGTTACTAATCAGTCGACAAAAGGCAAACAGAGGACTGCATTTACGTAGCCTTGCAGCATCATTGCTGAATTAAATTTCCCTCTGCCTTTATCCCATCTTCTCATTTTGGATCTGTACACTTTTCCCCACCACAGCCAACCCTAAGATAGTGCTCTTCGAATTTAGAATTTTCTCTTTTTTTTTTTTTATGGAAAAAGCATGTAAAATAGTTTGACAGGTCAAAGTGTGTGATTGTGAGCGAAATGTCCATCGTAGCAGGAAAAGCACAGGTGTTAACATTATTAAGTCCGAATTCAGCCATAATTTAATGAAAAACACCTGTGTTTGACAAGTCAAAATGTCCCCCGTTAGAAAGCTATGGAATATATGCTGTAGAGTTTTGTATGGGCATGGCCAGCGGTCTGACAGGCCTCTAAAAAACACTGTCCACTTTCTAAAGAGTGGAGCACCTGATGCACATTTAGGAAGAAGGGACAAGAGACAATGAAGAGCAAACGTGAGACCCTGCAGCAACTCTGTATACCACCCACAGCTGCGGATGAACACCACCGATAGTATTCAAGCCCAGACTGCGAGACCATACAGTGTGATTAGACAGAAACTCACCTAAGGGTGGAGGGAAGTGGGGAGGTTTGCTGGCCACTGAGTAATACTCCACCGCCTTCTTGAAGCGGATGACTTTGTCATCAGTGCACGACTGAAAGAAGAACATTACATGAGATTATTAATACACAGCAAGAAAAACATGCCAGTTAACCTTTCAACAGAACTGCTGTTTTCTGTTCTGTCCTTGCAGCTCCTCTTTAGTTAAAGAGTGAAGGTGCAACATTGTAGCCAAGACTTCAATTATTTTTGCTGCTTCCCAAATCCCAACAAAATGAGCTGTTATATGCCAGTACACAACCTTTCCCTGCTCGCTTTATGTGTGATTGTAATTCACTTTTCAGCCATTATTCCTTCTGTTCCTGTGCACAATAACACAATAACTGTAAATACGGGATGTGTTGTTGCAGCTATTTTTAGATACAATGGAGAATCTAATCTATTGATATTTGAGGTGGTTAAAATACAAGTCACTAACTAACAGGAAGTGGTGATCAAGCCTTGTTATCAGTTTTCCTCCATCAGAGCAGCACATCTATGACTCATTGTTGCAATGCATGTTTCTAAGGGTGCTCTGATATGTGTTCTAAATAGTTTTGGTGGTTTTTACAAAGGCCAGTAAGATGACACATTTATTCTATTCTACAGAAAAGAAAAATCACAGTTTTCCACACAGACTTTACTTGGTTTTTATCTATTTAAAAACAACATTTCAATTAAACATTGTATTATTTGATCTTTTTTTCCTTTTCTAATGTGTAAAATGATCCTGCAGTGCTGTGTTTATAACTATATTCTGAGTTCTACTTTTAACAGCTCATTCAGATGAGATGAGGTTTATTCTCCTTGTTTAATCTAATATTTGAGTTAGTTCAGCTCAGTGGTTTGTACAAAATTTTTGTTGTCAAAGGTTGTTTCTGAATGTGAATTTAAAAAGCTCGAAAATTAAGGTCATAACTCTCCCCTAATTCACTTATAAAGGGAATTCTTTAATCCCCTTTTCTAGAAAGGTCTGTGAATAAATGAAAGTCAGGTTGCTTTCTAACCACGTTATAGCAGCTAAATCTTAAATGTGCAACCTGTTGTCTATTAACTACATTTTACCAATACAGCTCCTCTACAGCCCCTCTGATGCTACAAATGGAATCATATTTTCAGGATCTAGACTCCAGTGGAGTCGGTCACAGATGTTTTAATGCTGCACCATTATCCATACAATACATTCATTAAAGGGGACCCATTCTGATCATTTCCAGCTCTGTATTCTTAGTCTGAGGCTTCATTGGAGTAGCTTTGCACAATTCGCTCTTCAAAAACATCCTTATTTATCCATTTATTTCTATTTATTTACTGGCCCTTTAGTTTTTTCTGATTGGTCAACTTCGCAGAAGCCTGCCGAGGGGCAGCACTGAGCGTTTCTGCGGTCAGATAACGGAGTGGAACCCGGTACTTTGTGGACGTGCTCAGCCGTGCTCGGTCTGGAGCAGATGACCATGTAAAGAAATCTTTGATGAGCAACATCTGCTAGGACCACATTTTGCTCACAGGGATTACTTTTACATACGTTTACACTATGGCCTGGTTTAATATAAACATCCAACAATGTAACCGTATGTGACATAAACTAAGGACAGGCAAACAGGTCCCCTTTGAATTCTTTATCATTTATGGAAATGTTTCGCAACAGAACTTAAAAATAAGCAAAATATACAATAGTTTTCATATAAAAACACTTTTTGGTGCTTTTAGAAGAAATTGGTCACCTGAAAATACCTGAAAACCTCTGCTACACAATCACTGTTACAGAGTCATTCAAAAAGAATCTGCATTGTATCCATCGCTTATCCAGCAGACAACAATCAATGTGCAGTTTTTACAACAAGTGCAGCTCAACTTTTCATACCTGTGAATGCTTGAAGATGTCCTTAGCGATGGCCTCCAGGTCGGTGATATCTGGGATGTTGCGGACGAAGTCGGCCACAGCCTTAATTACAACATCACAGGGTGGGAGCACAAGCTGGTGGGCACGCACCTGAGGAACAATAACGCAACAGAGTTCACAACAGGTCAACTCGTTTTTGCGGAACTAGGTTTGAGGGAACAATAGACCTTTTTCACAGCAGCCATTTTGACATGAAATATTAGGGTACACACAGCAGTTACCAATGATAATAATCAAGGTTCCATTCCAAAGGCTCTGCTACACTAAACAAAACAGAACCTTAATTAGTCATTACATATATACAACACCTGTGTTTACCCTACTGTTTACCCTACTGTTTAATGGCTGTTATGAAAAACGTCTATTTCAAATAAAGCTCTCTAGTGGTCAGTGTGTACAGCACCCTCCTGTTGCTGTTTAAAATGCTGCATTTTGAGTTTGGTAAATCACACAAACTGATAAATCATAAATAACACACAGGGCTGCCTAAATCCTCTGCCTCTGAATAGGCACTTTGGCGGGGTCAAAATACTACAATACCCATGAACCTCGGTCTTCATTGCCACAGAGAAGAAGTGAGTCAGAAGCAATTGAGAACGAAAGTCGTTGCAGTGGTTACAGAATTATTCAAAAATGTAGTTTAAGCTGCAGACTCCTAAGCACAATGATCTTTAGTCACAGTGAACATCCCCCCTAAAATGTTTACATACCTTTTACGTTTTATCAAAGCAGTAGACATTTCTTAATGCAGCTGTTAATCTTTTGTACTGATGATTCCACTGGGAGAATTTCCATCCAAGAACAGTAATGGCGCTGTGAGCAGCAAGTCACACATCATTATTTATAGAAACACAAATAATGCACCCAAAATACCCTCTCCCACTTCACAACTCCGTTTTGGTGCAGTGTAAAACCAGATAAATGAATTTAACTCAAAAATAGTTTGAACTGATTACATTGACAATTTTAAGAACTCTAAATTCATTTTGTTTAGTTTAAATTATTTTTTGAATTAAAATAACTTTGCGTTGAGTTTTTTGTTTCCAAGAGAACTTCAGAGAGCTACTTTAAAGTTACAGTGAAAGTACAGTTAACGTGTCTTTATCTTCAGTAATGTGACGTATGTCTAAGACAGGATTTAAATCCTATCGTTAAGATCTGATTGGATGAATGAAAAGTGGGCATGGTTTAGTGAATACAGCATGATGCAGCGCTGTAGAGGTCTGCTAAAGAATACAACAAGGATTTTGCAGTACAATACAGTATGCAGTATGATTGTTGATGATAAATGTTGAAGATGTGTTTGAGATACTGGAACTGTGTCTTTGAGTGTTCTGGCCATATTTCTGCCAGTGGACCACAATTTCAAATGAACTGCCTTTCTTTTTCTCTATAGCTCTCCAATTCCTTTCCAGTTATTACTGAGTATCCTGACCAGTGTGTATCCAAAGCTACACAGCAGGTGTGGTTGACTTATGGACAGAGAATAAACAGCCATAAATGTATTGCCTCAGGCCTTAACCACTGAGAGATTAATAAGTAAACTATTGCTCAAGTGAGAGCAGCTGCAGGACGAGACCATTTGTACAGAGCAGAGCACAACTTTATCATTTCATCAAATATGAATGTATAGTGCAGTTTTGCAGCATACATGTGATACAAATTATTTTTTATCTTTGTTAAGATTTTTTAAGTCCCAGGTTGGATTCAACAAATAGAGATTTCATGTAACAACAATATGGATTTGTTTATCTTTATCTAATTTTGTTGCACATTTTTCTTTTTAAAAGGTCCAGTGTGAAACA